AAAACAAAGAAGAACATTTCCAGGACTTTGAATGTTTCCAGTTTTGTAAACTGCAGTTTGTTTAAGTTTTGTAAACTCCAGTCTCTTGGTGTGGTTTACTGGTCCTACTCATCCAATTTTCTGTTCTTTATATTTAAATTGGTTTAGAATTGTGGATGTAACAACATAAATTATGCCCACCAATGTTTGTGTATTGTTCTTTGGTCTGATGCTGGCCACAAAGACATTCACTCATTGTGTAGTCCACTCAATCTTCAACTTCCTGTCTTTTTCCCCCCCTTGTGGCTTGTAAAGAATATAAATTAAGTGGAATTTTTGCTGATGAAAGTTACAGGATAAAATTGTTAACAGTTTTAAAACTCCTGATTATGGAATTTCTTTTCCACATTATTATTATTATTATTTTAATTATTATTATTATTGAGGATGATGATGATGCATTTTTTAATAGGTTTCTTACTGGAGACTTCGAATTAAAATAATACTGGTATACCAGCCATACTGATATTAAAGTAATCTATTTGGAACAACTTTAAACACTTTATTTTAATGTTTATTAAATAGAAGAGATAGAAGCAATTTCGTTTCCCTCAGTACCAGCGTCTTTTTCGTGATCCGTAATTTGGTGACGCAATTATTCTATTAGTTTGGAACACATAACAGACTGATTTTCATAATTTCATGAGCAACTGCAATATTGCTAATAATATAATGGCTATTTTAAATAGCAGTGTTTGTTAGAATTGTTATTGTACTGTCACTCGTGTAAATATATATATAACTATTTATTTAAACATTGAGAATTTATTTCCTATTTTATAATTATTTTATAAAGCACATGCGTCTGAGACCAGATACTGATTTGTTTAAATTGCACAGAAAATGCAGTGGTTTTCGTATTTAAAAGGCCTGTGTGGTGAAATAAATGCAATTATTAAATTACGACCATAATAGTAGCCTACTCGAATTTTATAAGATAAGCTTCAGGCACCATTAGATTAGCCTGTTATTGTAACATTGTAAATCGTAATGAAAACGTGAATCACAAGGTAGTTATGAGCACAGCACTGTTATGCACGAAAATTGTTGTGTGATGATCAGTGTTCAACAGCAACATCACAGGTCGATTTAAAATAATTATTTAGATAATTCTATACATAATGTTCCGCTTGTAAATTATGCTGTATAAAATGACTAAAAATGGAAATATAGTTTGTGGGCTGCTTTCAAAGCAGTCTATATGATAAATCTGTTACGAAATTTGTTAGCATCCACTCAGTTTGAACACAGTCACTGTCAGTGTAGAGGAAGTGTGTGTTTTTGCTTGATTATATTTGATGTGAGCCCGGTCTCATGAAAATACGTATCAATTGCACGAATTTCTGTTTCTATTTGGCTCACTATTTTTACGCAGAAACTGACTTTGGCGTGCATGTGATACGCACATATTTGACGTGCATATGATACGCAGTTTGGCGTAGCCTGCATATAATACGCACCTACCCAACACCCCTAAATCTAACCGCTGCATCATATGCGCGCCAAAGTCAATTTCTGCGTACAAATAGTACGCCCAACAGAACATCGTGTTATTGAAACGCACTTTCATGAGATCGGGATTCGAGCAATGTAGGTGGTCAACAAAATAATTAAAAAATAGGCCTAATAATATTATTATTTTTTATTTTTTATTTTTTTAAGCACAATAACAGCTTTATTTTAGTGAACTTGTTTGTGTGTTATATACCGTGTGTGTTGATTGCCTCTCTTTATTTTGTCAGCGAGAAATAAGGACAGGTGGAATTAAGAGATGGAGTACCTCTCCCCGTCTTGCTCTGTCGCTCATGTCAGGTGGTGTGTGTGTGTGTGTGTGCGCGCAGAGATGATTAGGCCTATTATTTAAAATATATATGATTCAATAGCTACCAAAGCTTGGTATTAATTATGCTATTTTAAATGGGCGTCTTGAAGTCTGGATTTTTTTTATTGGTCGGGTTTGAATTCTAATCGGGATAGCATCCTCTTTAGCTTGTCCGCTAGCATTCTGACCCCACGCTCGCATAGTAACCATCTATAATTTATGAACCTGACAAGATGAAAACACTATAGTAGAGCTTAGCACGCAAACAGTCCTTGAATTTGCACGAGCTATAGGATTGGTGCACAAAATAAACTCTGGACCTCTCCAAAGCAGTCTAAAAAATAAAGTGGAGGAATTATAGGCTAAGTGATGCTACATATGTGTTCATTTAATTAAACTGTATCTGTTTATGCATGTACTTTTGTTTTTATCTAATAATTTTACCTTGGTATATTTAACAGAAATTAGACAATTACATTGTTTTAGGAGAATGTTCCTTTTCAAGTATTTCATCTATGAGTTGTCACAAGTTGTCTGAATGAATGAATGAATGAATGTTTGGAGGGAAAAAGGAGTAGCCTATTCACCCCTTCACGTTTATCTCCAGCCAATGGTTACATCATAGTGGCACTACACTATTTGTGTGCAAGTAAGCGTGCGAGCGTTTCCTGCTCCATTGGCCTACTGAACTGTCTCTACTGTACATTTCCTCTGCGTACAATCCAGATAGGCTACTCCAGATTTCCATTAGGATCACAAACATCACAGACAAATACAGCTTTAGAAAAATTGGTCATTTGGTTTTATTTTTCATCAAGATGACCCAAGTTATAAACCGCATCCGTGGTGCACTTTGATTGCCTAAATATTTTTCATCTGCACTCTTTAAAATATAGGTGCGATGCCATAGAATAACCTTTTTGTCTAAATGGTTCCATAAAGAACCTTTAACATCTGAAGAACCTTTCTGTTTCACAAAAGGTTCTTTGTGGCGAAAGAAGGTTCTTCAGATTATAAAAAGGTAAGAAAGAGATGGTTCTTTAAAGAACCTTTGACTGAATGGTTCTTTGTGGAACCAAAAATGGTTCTTCTATGGCATCGCTTGAATAACCTTTTGAAGCACCTTTATTTTTAAGAGTGTTGGTTGGTCTCAAACATTTTCTATTGTGGCCTTAATTGTCGTCCCTTTGAAGACGTTTATCTATAATTGCAGACCATTATCCCGTATAAGCATCCCAACATCAGTTGATTATGATGGCTATGGCATTTGCTGAAGTTCAGCAAACTGGCCTCGGCATCTCCACACACATGCACGCCCTCTGTGAATCTGACCGATTTCTTTTACTATCAATTGGATCCTGGTCCTCACAAATGACAGCAGAAGACAAAAAGTAAAAGAGTTATAGCAGTGTTGTATACTCCCATGGACAGGGCCAGCTGGATCAAATCACGCCGATTATTATCACTGACCTGGGCAGGGAAACACCGCGTTTCTCACCCCATGACACTATGCTGCTGAGTAATTATGAAGATAAATGTGGGAAACAACACATAGAGATATGCCATAATGAGGAATCGACATCGCCGTTTCTGTTGTCTGTTAGTGAGGAGTGAATAAAACAATAATGTAATTACGGGCTAAGAAAAATCACATTATCCTCTTAAAAATACATATGCCTGCCTTTCAATGTATCACATTGATCGAGCGAAATATGCAGATTATTTAATACAAATATTGCAAATTAGCAAGAACATCACTTAAAGTGTAAGCTGAATGACAGAATATCTACACTGTAAAAAATGACCGTGAATTTAACGGTAAAAGACTGTAAAAATGCTACAGTAAAAACCTGTTAAATGGTTAACGGTAAATTCCCCTACTATATACGGTGAAAAACTGTATTGGACATTACATGTATTGGACATAGTATTTTAGTGTCATTTTAGAATCACATTATGAGGCTTTCCTCTTTATTCTAACTGCTATTATTTATATAAATAATATATTTCCTCAAAATACGAATTCAAAATACGAGCACAATTACTGTGCTCAAGCTTAGGAAAATAAAAATCGTTTAATCAAGCACGTAACTCTCTTGACCTGCAAAGCACCGGCCAGATTTACAGTGTTCTAAACATTGTAATTTAATTGATAAAAACGTAAGAGTGTCGGAGCACCAAAACCTGTCAGTTTTTCTTTTAAAAAAAGATGACCACAGTCGTTCAGTCACAGCTAGGCCTCAGTTGAACTGGACAGCCATAGGCATATAGGCTACTATCTTTTCCCAAACGCGTCCTTGAACAATAATCCTGGAGTAAAAGTCTTATAGCCTACTGAGCAAGTTTATCTCGTCATAAAGCTGAGACAAAATACTCTTGATGCTGCTTGTCAATTCAAAACAGCTCTCATGATAACTTTTACATTAGGGTTCAACTGGTCCTCCACTATCTCCATCTGTGTGTGTGTGTGTGTGTGTGTGTGTCTCACACATACGATTTTTCCTCGAGCAGTGCATGACGCTATCAAATGCTGCAACAGCAAAAACTGCAATCACTGACCCACGAACTGAACTGCACAATATATATATATATATATATATAAGTTGTATTATGCTGTTAATTTTGTCCTCGTTGGTCTTGTTGTTTGTTGTTTTTTAATGTCTTAAATGGCTCCCAAAGGTGGTAACAGTTGCAGTAGCTAGTTAGTGGCTACATTTATGCATTTTAATCCTGCGCTAGTTGTATTTGTTTTCAGGATACAAGAGGATCAAGACAAAGTGAACACCCGATTTCAGAGGCAAGAGAGTAAGAGTAATATTATCTTATTAGCATTTAAAGCTATTAAGACTATCAGTGAGGTAATTTCCACTCCATCTTATTTTGCAAAACAATATTTATTATTAATGAAAAACAGACCGTGTAAAAAATATCACACTCCGAGTATACAATATCAAAGAATGTACATTGTTTATTAGGCTACTGAGAAGTACACGTTGTATAAAAAATGCTCGATTTTCACTCTTGTGAATTTTCATTACAAAGTACAAATAATAAAATCAGCTTGCCAAACTAGAAAACATTTGTGTTTTCACACAAAATATATCATTGTAGATTTTTGACAATTTATTTCATAGCCTGTTAAAAAAAAAATGTTGTCCTGAGACGCCCTATAGCAGTGATTACCACAATCACATCGACTGCAAAAAGTTTGTGGGGGCGGGCGGAAATTAGATTGAACTATGTTATGATTGAAAAATGTTAACATAAATATATATTTTTTATATTTCACAGCTTGAATATAGGCACGAACGTGTTAATGTCCACCATCCAGCTGCGTGAAACAAAACAATACAAAAATAATCCTACCTTAAACACAGTTGTGAATCGCTTTATAATGTGACGTTTAGTTAAAAAAATTAACAGCCGCTAGTGCCACTCACAATCCGGTTTGCGTAGGTTTCGTGTAAAGACGTCGGTCCGTGCAAGACTCCCGGTAGTGGGTTTGGGGAGTGCTGAGATGCGAGGGACGGCGGAAGCACCGGGACCACCGGGGAAGTCCGTGAGGCACAATGTGAGTGCATGGGGCTTAAAGAGTTCCCGATAATGCTGTCTATGGAGAAGGGTGAACGGTGAACCGGGAACTTAGCCGCAGTCTGTATGGGGGAAGAAAGCCCGGGACTTAGAGGAGGATAGAAGCGGGAACGGGTGAGCTCTGTAGTGGTTGGCATGAGGGAAGGCGCTGGGATGAGTGTTCCGGTGTGAGGATGCCGGGACGAGGGCGGCGGCAGCTGCTGTTGCTGCTGAAAGGCGAGGAGCGTAGAATGTGCATGATAAGACTGAAGCTGCAGACCGTATCCACAACCATAAGGTCCGTAACCGTACGCAGCGGCCGCAGGGAGAAAGCCTCCGTGCTCGCGGAGAAGTTCAGGCGCCTGCTGGCGCTTAAAGCGTTTCCGGCGGCGTAGAAAACTCCCGTTATCAAACATGTCGGCGGACTCTGGGTCCAGTGTCCAGTAGTTGCCTTTACCGGGGTTCCCGGGCTCCCGTGGTATCTTGACGAAGCAGTCGTTTAAGGACAGGTTGTGCCGGATAGAGTTCTGCCAAGCTGGGAACTTTTCCCGGTAGTACGGAAATCTGTTACTGATGAAGTCACAGATCTCGCTGAGCGTCAGTCGCTTCTTGGGACTCTGGAGGATTGCCATGGTGATGAGTGCGATGTAGGAGTATGGGGGCTTCACCAGGTTGTTTTTACTTGCTGGTTCCCGTGCGGCGGAGGCATCCACACAAGACGGCGAACCGCTTAATAAATGTTTTTTTTTTTTTTACGGTGTAGTGTATATTCAGCTGCATGACGTTTAATGTGGACATAATGGAATTGTTGATGATTTCAGAAATGCTTAAAACATTCACTCGGTTCCATGTCTGCCTCAGTAGGCATCGCAGTTTGCGTGACACGGGGGAGTGCACTAACATCCGCGAAAAAAAGTCAGCTGTTAACTCGCATCAGTCACGCGGATCACGAAAGAGCATTCTAGCTTGCGAAAAAGCAGGGCACAGGCGCGCGTGTCCTATTCCGAGAGGCCAACATTGTCATATTAATATTCATAATTAATATTAGCAATTGGTATCTGGTCCGTTTATTTCCTTAAAATGTTAAACAAGTAGCATATTTGTGAGTATACTGAAATACTGGACGTTTCTGAACTGTCATGATTTCAATGGACCAGTGGTGTAGTCCTAAAGAAAAAAGTGGTTTACTATTACCCAGTAATATTACCCTATTACCCCCCCCAAATAAAGTTTCATTTATATAGTCATTTATTATATCTGAATAGTATTAAATAGAAAGGCTATCAAGTGTGAAACCTAATTGTTAAGATTAACAAAGCACTTACAAACATTGCATTAAAGACTTAAAAGGCGTATTGGTTTGTGTTATTTTCATTAATGTATTATTTGTTTGAATAAACAATTAGGCCTATCAAATATAATAATAGTTATTCATGTCGTATCTTCACTGCATTATTATTATTATTGACTGTAGTAATAATAATAATAATAATAGTAATAATAATAATAATAATAAAGGCTTTAGTTTACTAATAATTTTGTGGGCCTTAACTAAAAAACGATATCAGTCAAAAACCTCGCTCTGCCAATTAGAGTCAACTCGCTCTGCCAATTAAAAGAAGCAAAAAAAAACAAAAACATAGAGAAACTGCATATAAAGTTGGATACTAAAACAACTTGTGGTAGGAGTGATGAAAATATTCTTGTCCAAAAGACACAACGCTGACCCATAGAAACTCGTGTGCCCGACATAAAATAAAGGTCTTCTTCTCAAAATGAATTATCTTTTCCTTTTTTATTACAGTTCCATGTTGGTTCTGGAGGATGCAGTGGGTATAAGGGGTATTTCTGTATGATTGCAAAAACATCTGGTCCGGTTTGATGGCCGTTTTATGGTAACTCATGTGGTCAGGCTTGTGTATTTAACATTTATTTCATCCAGCAGTTATTAAGGGCTGTGAGAGTGCCATCTCGCGGCAGTTTACCATGTTTACCATGTTCATGTAAATTCTAGCTATACTGTTTTGGTTTCGGAATATTATTTTACAAATGTTTAAAAAATTCAGTTGTCTTGATTATTCTTAATTTAAGAATAATCTGACTGATAACTCAATAATATTAATATATTTATAATTACATTTATATACATAATATTAAAAACATTTTCATAATCAAAGCTTCTGGAACAAAACATTTATTTAATCAATCTTTGATTAATGTGACCGGTTCATTTTTTTTTCTATGTACTTTTGCAGTAGGCTATTTGCCTTGTGGATGTAGAAAGGGGAAAAAAATATGTCTTGATGTTATAGGGATTGATATTGCGTAACGTTGTTATACCAAAATCAAATAGGTTTAACTAAAATATCAAACGTTCTCCTAAATGGCGATGCAGGACTAATTAATAGGATGTGGGTTAAGTCAAAAGGCAATCATGCTTAATTTAGTGAAAGCAAAACGATATGTTAGCAGAGACTATTTTAACTCTGATACAAAAATGTTTTGCTACATTAGAGACAAATGCAGTAACTGTATCGTTTCTGCATATTTCGCCACAAAAAAAAAAAAACTAAATTAAATTGTGAAGATCGTGGTCAGAAAGTCAGAAAGCGTAGTGTGCAGCAAAGTGAACTTTCAGCAGGTCAGGACATAATAATATTAACCCTGAACAAGTAATGCAGAGAAATTAGTTTAGGTGAACAGAAGAAATTGTTTAAATACATTGGATCTGATTTAAAAAAAAAAAAAATAATATATATATATATATATATATATTTTTTTTTTTAAAGATAATCAGTAGCCTATTTAAGATACTTTGTCGACTGGATTGGATTGTAGGCCTACAGTATATTGACTGAGGAGGACAGTAGCCTATGCGAAATCCAGATCAGGACGTCACAATAACTGGCAGTGATGTTCCTATTGGCTGTGGCTTAATTATTCTGCGTGTCAGAGAGAACGAAATAGAGTTTTGAGAACCGGGGCGCAGTGAGCCGGGTCAGGGCTTGTATGTGGTTTAACAACATCTAAAGTGTTTCTAGTCCTGGAGGGGTGAGCAGGCGCTTTCCGTGCCACGGGGTACCATGAAAGCACTCCCCTGCCACGGCTGCTCTGGGTGACAAGTCCCATTAATGTATAGGGATTCGCACGTGCTCTATTCATTTCATATGCACGAAATAAAACCTGTTTAAAGTTATAATGGGTAGACCTATGTGTGCGTTTTGAAAGTGCTTGAAAAATCCTTCTGCTCTCCAACTAGGAGTAGCCTAATGTTTTTGAATGTGACATAGTAATAGCCTAGCCAGGCTTTCACAGTCTTTTTCTGTTAGGTTGCGTGTTCTAATCTTTCGAGTAGGCTAAGTGGAAAAATAATTTATTTCAAAATATTCCGCTGCCCTACCGAACGTTTACAGAAATTATTTCTAGATTTGCATCCACATGGGAAAAGCTCGCCGATTCTACCTCGTATAATTCTCTGAGGTGTTCTCTGCAATTCCAGACTTCATAATTTAATGCAATGTGAACATATATTATTATATAAGATTAAGCTCTTTATGATAAATTTATTTATTCATTCGTTTAACCAAAATATGTAACATTAACAACTGGACTGGGGTTGTTATTGTTGCCGCAGAATACACTTTATCTAGTTTTCCAGTAGATCACATATTTGCCTCTAAAAGTGCACGTAATTATCACTAGAGATATGGCGGGTTGTTTATAAACAATCTTCTATTAGTAAAATAATTGATAGTCTTATACTCTTGAAGACTTGGGTCCTATATGGGACCAAGAATAATGCCCGTCAGCATCTATCCGGTATTGTCCTATAACGGAACAAAGTGTAAATATTGTTCCACAGCTATAAATACACTTTAATTTATTTAATTAATTTTCCACAAAGCAATAGGCTAAGTCTACCATCAAATAGGACTACTAACAGATGTTAATAACGCTTATAAAAAGCATATTTATTTGAGATTGCATATTGATCTCATCTGAGGCAAAGTAAACATATAACTCAACAAAGTTATTAAATTAGGCTACATCAGAGGCCAGGATTTGAGTATCAGGTTTTCACGTAGGCCTAGTCAACGTATCGGAAAGACATTATTTCTGGTTAATATTATGTAAGTTAAACTTGTACCTTATATCCTTACACAAATACCGCACAAAAGAGACCCGACTATACGCTGGTTGAGCGTTATTCTTGGCTCAGACCAGACCAGTGCAGGCAGGCGGGCAGGAATGGTTTCTGGATCCAGCGCACTGCCCCCAGCCCACTGCGTCGCATTTCGGCCCTGTCGTCACTTCCGTCATCCTTTCTCGCTTCCATCTTGCTCTCCGCGCGTGTTTGCTGCTAGCGTGCAGGTCAGTGAGGAGCTCTAAAATACTCTATTTCCTGCACAACCACTCCTGGTTCCGAGGCTCAAGGTAAATAAGTACCTTATTTACCAAACGGGGCTGCTGTTTTGTAGGAATCACCCGCGGAAAGATGCTTGAATAGGTTCGGGTGAGACGGCTCTGCTGGGAGAGACCCAGGCCTGAGAGCGCGTGAGATTAGCACTGCTGCTAGCTCACTGCAAACAAACTACGAGCCTCCACACGCGATTCGATATGTAATGTTTTTACATTTACACTTACAAACCGAATGCTAATATCGTTTTAATTTGTTACGACTTTTCCGTCAGCGTTTAGTCTTATAAATTGGCTAACGGTTTTCTTTGTGGACCAAGAGCATTTGTTTATTCAGAGAGAAATCCCGTCGCATTGTTTTGTATTTAAAACGTTAAATGGCTACATAATAGTGTCGGACTGGAAGTGTTACGTTGCGGGTGTAAAAACTAACTACCTGACTTGACTTGATTCAAGTGGTCAACAGGCCTGACAACAAGCTCCATCATTTGCTCTTTTTTTTATTAGCCGCTGCACAGCAAATAAAAGTAGTTTCTGACTTGTTCTGTGCGTTTGAAAATGAACAAGGGCGTGAGCTGGGCGATTTAGTAATGGCTGTGCATGTGTGTGTTGGAAGTTTTCTTGTGGACTAATAAGATGTTTGTCCGCTGAATGTCATTCAGACCGCACCCCTACAACTCATTTGTGCTTCACTACACAACATCATTCACTTACTTCTGTGTGTCTTACAGATGAAAGAAACGATAATGAACCAGGAGAAATTAGCCAAGTTGCAGGCACAAGTCCGCATCGGTGGAAAGGTAAGAGCTTATAATGCAAAAACCCCCACTGAAATTTGGTTAATGTGTATTTACTTCATAAATGTCTAGTCAAATAAGAGTAGTTCCTCACTGACACATTAATGGTATTTTGTTTTGATAGGGTACCGCCCGCAGAAAGAAGAAGGTGGTCCACAGAACGGCCACTGCTGATGACAAGAAGCTTCAGTTCTCCCTGAAGAAATTGGGAGTAAATAACATCTCTGGCATTGAGGAGGTAAGGTTTGGTTTTGGCTGAATACACACATTCTGTATTTAAAAATGTCTAAAATCTCTTTCCGTGTACACTTTGTCTTTCAACTGTCATACTGTTGCTTTGCAGGTGAACATGTTCACAAACCAGGGCACGGTAATCCACTTCAACAATCCCAAAGTGCAGGCCTCACTGGCAGCCAATACCTTCACCATCACAGGCCATGCCGAGACCAAGCAGCTGACAGAGATGCTGCCCTCTATCCTCAACCAGTTGGGCGCTGACAGCCTGACCAGTCTGCGCAGAC